AAAAAAAATTATATTATTTCGGTTGGCATGTCCCTAGTTCACCGAGGAGATTTGTTTTTTATTTTTTTTGGGCATGAGATCAATTAGATAGGTTAAATAAATTGTTAATCATTTTGTAAAATTTTAATATTTTCATTTTATAATGAATATTTACAATTTAGCAAAAACAAAAAAAATGAGGACAATAACGAGGCACTTGTTGAATATTATAATAGTCTTTTGTGTATGTCTCGATTGAGGCTGTACTGAGTTGATTCTCACACTATTCAACTCAGCTCTCTTTTCCCTTCATCATCATCATCTTGTGTTCTTTCTCCAAAAGGTGATTATCGTAGCCAATTCAATTTCTAATCATTCAATACGTTATATCACTTTTAGTGAGTTGATGTCGAAAACATAAACTTTTTTTTTTTGTCAACAGTCGAAAACATAAACTATTCTAGTGAATTAACACAAAAAAATGAATACAATAACTTTGTTTAATTAACTGCAATTAGTTGAAAATTATATAGTTTATTAATTTTAAATAGGAGTATCGTTTTTATGTTGAAAATATATACCAAATGACCTTGTAATTCCCATAGTTGATTTCTACCATTTGGTTTCTTTGATCTTTGAAGTGTAATAGTTTATCAAATTCTGGCTTATAGAAGTCATGAAATTTGGAATCCTGTAAAAAACAAAATAATTAAAAAAAATTTTAAAAATGTCATTTTTCAAGTGTCACTTTACAAAAATATAACACTTTTAAAATTTTTTTTAAAAAATGCCACTTTTCAAAAAAAATTTTTTATATTATTTATGTTTGGGTTAATTATGTTCTATTATGGTTTAGTTATGAGGATTTAGGGAGGTTTATGGGTCAAAACATTTTTTAGTGTTTAGAATTTTAAGATATAGAGTTTAAAACTCTATAATTAATGGCATTTTTGCAAATAAACACCCCTAAGTGGCATTTTTACAAATGTGCACATAAAAAATGATATTTTTGCAAATTCTCCAAT